AGGACAGCATATTGCATATATATGTTAACTTTTTCAAGACATAAAACTTCCTTGGCAATTTTTTCGGTCATTCTGTCTGGAAACTTTGTCTTAGACACTCATCCTACCTAAAAGCACTTAATTTTAGATTTTTCCTCTTGTTTAATGAAAATTTCTTTTTATATTTTCTTTCTGATTAATTTTTATTTGTTTATTCCGTCCGTTAATTTTGAATTTGTATTGTGTAATTCTGTTCCTGCAAATATAATGTGATCTTTTATTGGCTATAAAAAGAACTTGAATCAAAAATATTAGAGGTAAGCAAATATTTGTATTAAATCAATCTTTCCGCATACATGTAACATTTATAATGCTTTTATATTCCCGCATATATTTAACATTTAAACTGTGCAACAAATAGATTTATTTAGTAAATTTGATTATTCATGCATAATTTTATTTTTAATTCCCAATCTTTGTTCTTATTTAATGATTATGAAATCGGACTTAAGACTTTTTGAAATTGCTAACTGAAAATTGAAACAACTTTATTATAATTCAGTCAGAATTGAAATATCTATATTACATTTAATTTTATAATAAAACACAAAAATTTCATAAATGAATAGCTGAGAGTAATTAATCATTCAAACTATCTTAGTATAAAAGTGTAAGTGTAACTTAAAGTTAAACTATTTTTTAGAAAATGAAAAATACTTTCTATTACTAACTTTCCTTTCTTGGGATCTTATTGCGAGGGAAGTTACTTATGATATTGACAAATTTTTAACGATAACACTTCATTGCATAATCAAAAGTAGCGATATTTACAGTTTTATAAAATTAAAAAAAATGTCAAGAAGCCTTTAAATTATCATAAAAATTACTGAAATTGTTAATTAAAAAAAACAATTCAGTACTTTCTAAGAATGATTTGAATCAGCTCAAATAGTTTCTTTTTTTTTTTTGTCAACTTAATAAATACATATGAATTTATAGCAGAGTCAAGACCCCTTTTTCTTTAGCTATTATATGTATAGACCTTGTGAAGAAATCTTTAAAAAAATATACGCCAACTGAAATTTAGTAAATAATGAATATTTTATTCTAGCGCAACAGATTAACAATAAACCTTTACATCCACTTATTAAATAATATCAGTTTAAATTACAAAATATCAGAATAGTATCGAAGAGTTCTAATCTGTAAAGAAAAAAATTATTAAGCAATAAAAAATTTTTCGTAATAATAAATTCAACGTAATTCATAAATTATAATTAAGTTGTGACAACATGTTCTGAACTAATGTTTATTTTTATATTTAGTGATTATGCATGCAGTAATATATATATATATATATATATATCAGTCGAACCCCGCTATAGTGAACCTTCAAGGGACCGAAATTTTTGTTCACTATGACCGGGAGTTCACCATATCCGTTACGTAGGCAATTTAACTAATGGTTCCCAAACTGCTCCCTTTTATTACACATTATTCAAATAAATGACTGAAAAATATTATATGTAGTAGCAAAAAATGAATTTTTCATTATTCTTCGTCTTGCGTGCAAAAAAAAATTGGTAATTTTTAGCTGATGAGCAATCCTCAACATCAGATATGGAAGCACTTCCTGACTCTCAGATAATTTTTCCTGAATTTCTGTTATTCCGCTTTTTAAACCTGTCTAACCTGCCACTCGAGCACATAAAATTAGTCTCATGAAATCGCTTAATACATTTATCGACATTTGTCCAGATACGGGAAGATTGCGGCTTCTTCAAATGGTGAACCACTTCAGCAATGCTTCTTCAACATCCTTGTGATCTGATTTTCTCAACTCTCAAGAAGGCAGAAAAGCCTTCTAAATTTTTTTCATGAGCAGAAATTATTAATTGTCTATTTTTCCATATGTTACAAACTCAAGATTTGAATAGTTTATATTCCCTTCAAATATCAATTTGATTGCATCCATTTTCAATTTTTCTGACTATGACCATTTTATCATCAATGGAGAACGTTTTACGTTTACTGGTCTCCATCCATAGTTAAATTTGAGACACTTGTTTGCAGACTTTTTTTTAACTGCACTGAGAACAAAAAGGAGTTGAAATGAGGGCCTTATCAACACATATTAGTGTCCAACCCTTTGACCAATAACGAATAATTACTCATTCCCTTTGACAGAAAATGCCGATTGATCTCACTGACACCTTACAGGTGCATCACCTGCCTGACATCTGCTTGGTTTGTTTAGGGATTGGAAAGTGAGATAAAAGAAGCAATCAGGAAAAAATGTTTATCGCTACATTCCCCTTTATAGATGGTTTTAAACATTGGTATATGTATTTTATTTATTTTGAAGTAGAAATTTCAAAATTATTACAAAAAAAATGAAGAAAAAAATCAGTCGAAGACAGAAAAAAGTTCATTATATCCAACTTCCTCACTTGTTTGGTTCACTATATCCACAAAAAATAACATTATACGTGTATAGCAAGGCACGGGACTGAATATTTCGTTCACTATATTCTGAGTTCACTATAAACCGTGTTCACTATAGCTGGGTTTGACTGTATATCTTTCATGAGTATGTTATTGCTTAGTAATTCTTTATAATGAATGCTGTTTTTCTTTAATTTTAAATTAATCAAACGAATAATTTTATGCTTAACTTAGGAAAATTTTATTAAAATTCAGTTCACTTAAAAACGAATCATGAAACAGATATGAAAAATTTATCATTGCAACTGCATTCATTTTTTCATAAATGATCTCAAACTTTTTATTTGTTAGCCATAATCTTGTGTAAACAGTGTAAGCAAATAAAACTAACAATAATCACGCTGCACTAAACTAAGTCTGTCACTGAATAAAAAAATAAATCAAGTTAAATGAAAGAGTAAACTAACTTAAAAATAATACTTTAATTCCAAGAGTTTGAAGATATTTTATGCTTTGACATGAAGTAACCCACTCCTTAATTATGATATATCATCAACACTAACTAATGAAAAAAATCGTTGTTTAGTAAAATGTTTTAAGATTATTAAACAGCGATATTTAGTGTAATAAGTAATTCTTTAAATGTTGAAATGCCCGCGGCCACTCCATCGTAATCCTAATTTGATAGTCCGTGACCTTACGAAACACGGATTTTTTCATTCAAGATTTATTTACGAAATATTTTGAGACTTTGTAAATTTGTATCAATTTTTTTTCCTTGTGTTGTATATCTTTTGTATTTATTAATAATTTTTTGTTACATTATTAAAGTTTTACACCTTCTATTTAATAATGTAGTTTAACAGGATATTATTGAAATAAACAAAAAGAAAAATTTGTGCGAAGCTATATTCATTTACCGACTTCTGCGAATGTACTATATATCTGCGAGTAATTTTCGTTAAATACGACAATTTAATACATAATGTTCGTTAAATACGATAATTTAATAATGTAACTGCCATTGAAATCTGATATCATAGAAAAAAATGACAATTTTTTTAAAAAGTTTATTTAACATCATTATTATTAGCTTTTTGGAATGATTTTACACTTTGTCATTTTCCAGCGTTCTCTAAATAACTAATATAAACTATATTATTCTATCTGAGTTGTTTAACAAAGTCTTGTGATTAATAACACGAAGACTAACTAAAAATGAAATGGAACATGGAAGTAAAAGCTATAAAATAATAAATTGTAATTTTTCTGTCACTTGAATGCCAAGGAATAACTGCAAACTGCTAAATGCTTGTTAACTATTGTACATTGCTCTCTATGAGGTATTAATTAGAGTTCTTTTAATAAACGAGTTTTAAAAAAAAGAAATATAGTATTCCAATCCAAAAGGTTAATAATTAAAAAAAAAAATTTCATATGTGTCGTATTTCTTGAAAATTACCCATGGATTCCACTTCGTAAAGAATTCATTTTTTTAAATATATTATTTTGCCTGCTTTATAATTTATAAACGCATTATAATTTGCGGTGAACAGATGAATTTTTATAGATATTTTATACGGAGTTTTAGACAATGACGGTGGTTTTGTTTTAATGTTCTTTTCATTTGAATTTCGCTTATCTCCCAATCGAAGGGAAGCGATCAACGACGTTTATGGCTTGTCTTTATTTTGATCTTCATTTAGATCACTGGTTGTGATTTTTAGCTTTTAAATGAAGCTTACAGTGAAAACTTCTGTATTAGATTATTTTATGAAAACCAAAAAAAATTTACTTGTATGTATGTAACTGGTTTAATTAAATTACATCTAGATAATAAATTCCTCAATCACGAAACACCACCCATGAAAAAACTACACCTACGTGCTTGTAATAAACACATAAATGAAATATTTAAAAATCTATATTTTTACATCATTTAACATGTTTCCCATACATTCCTTAGTTTTTTGTTAGGAAAAAATGAGAAACAGTTTTGGGAAGATCATATCTGGAAGGCAAGCAACAATTACAAAGTTTCAACATTGTGATGGACAGATTGACTGCACTCGAAGATCAAATATCGAAGATAACAGACTGAATCGAAGATCAAATATTTACCAGCAAAACCGTACAATTTAATGTTTCCAACATATAGTTAGAGCTTAAAACAACCTTTTTTACAAAATTAATAGTTAGAGCTTAAAACAACCTTTTTTACAAAATTAAAGTATGTTTTGAAAGGTTAAAATGAAATGAAAAAATAAGCGTCGATGTAACAATTATAACTATTGGTCTACAAACATTGCTGTTAGCAATTGTAAGAAGATGTGTAATAGGTTGGCTTGGTGACGAAAAATAATTCAACAATTTCATTGGATGGGAGAGCAAAATCTTTCAGAAAAAGAAAGCGAAATAAAATCGATTAGTATAAAATTATCTGCCATTATTTTTGAAACTGTCTGACTTCTTACAACAAATATTTTTCTTCATACTGCATAAAATATATAGTTTTGTAAAATGTACTTTAGTTTGTAATGCATATGAATCTTAATTTTTTTAAATTTATTTTTCAGATGAACTAGTATTTGACAATACCTACAGCTGGATGACAAAGAAAGAAATCATTTATAAAGTTAAAGTTGTACCTCCTAGTGAAATATCATATAACTAAAATGTAAAATTATATTTTACTATGTCGAATAAATATTTTTCTAAAACAAATCATCCATTCTAGAGGATACTTTTGAAATGAATGACTAATTCAGTGAGTCAAAAATGAAGTGTTTAACATAAAAAGTTACCGTTGGTAATACAAGGTAACTATTTTTTATTTTTGTTTTTTAAAAGCCCTGGAAGTCTCCGTTTTCATTGAGTGTTTGCAAAAAATGCTCAATTTTCTCTTTTCCAAAATGAGAATTTTCTTTGCCATGGTAATTGTCGCCATGAATTACGCAAAAGGTGAGGTCAACATTTTCACAATTTATTCAACCACAATTCATTTCAGTGTACTGTCACGTGTATCGTATGAAAGTGCCTATCATTTTACATGTTAGATGAGTAGGGTCAGACTGGGAACTTGGGGCCCCTTGACAGAGTGAAATGTACTCAATTTTTTTGAAAATGTTAATAAAGCATTACTGATTCTGCTTAGTAATTTGATTTCATAATTTATTTGAAATTTTAAACATTCTTTAATAGGCTAAATATTTTATATTTAATTTCAAAGCAATTACTTTTTAGTCAACAAAGTTTATTTTTGAATTTACTGTAAAAAATTATTTTGTTAGTCTTTAATTATTATCAATAAAATACATGACAAGAAACTAATTTGCTCTTTTTCTAAATATTTTCTTTTTCATTAACCCTAGACAGTCGAAACAGTTTCAAATGTCGCTTAAACTATTGCAACCCAAAAATCCTTCTGACTCATTTAGTTTTCACTCATTCAATATTTCTTCTTCTTCCTAATCCCTAAAATTAGCAGGGCTGAACAATGTCCATGAAATTCATGGCCACCATGAAGTAGGCCAACCATGAAGTAGGCCACCAAAAGTGGATTTTCTAAAATGTCTCTCTTGTCCAGTCCAAGACAATCCATGATATGTTGGGGAGAAGCCTGTATGTTGTGGCACCAGGGGCAGTTTGGGAAGATTTTAACACTACCCTCGAAAGAAAGAAACTTAAGGTAGCCGCTGCCAACTTATCAAGCTTAATATTGTCAACAATATATTTTTCTGCTTTGAGTAAAAGCAGTGAATTTAGGCGTCCACCAGTCATTGTTGTTCGAAGATAGTTTTTAATCAATTTCATCTTGCTGAAAATTCTTTCATTTGTCTCAACTACCATTGGTGCAGTTAACGCTAATAGATTTAACAATTAAAAACTTATGAAAAGATTTATGCTAAAATGATTATTCATCATTTTTAATACAAAACGGTGAATTGAATTTTTACATAATTACAAAATTATTAAGTTTCTTTTTACTAATAATTAACTTAAACAAATGAAAAACTGTTAACTTTAGTCAAAAAGATAATATGTATAAAAATAAATTTGAACTTATCACAAATTTGATATTTGAATTTTCAATAAAATAAGATCTATTAAAAATAATTTCAACTGAAAAAATCTAAAAAAAAAAAAATTACTAATTTCAAACATAAAATAAAAAAGCTTAGTAAATAACTATTTAAAAAACAGAAAAAAAATTCCAATTTTTGGAGTTCATATATGATTTATCTATTTCTATCTCAAGCTCGTACTAATGAATATAAATAACATTTTTTTAATTGATCTTTTTTCTTCCTTTTAATCATTTTACTGTACAAAAGAGATTAAAAAAATAATTTTATCTGATTCATAAAAATCAATTTTGACCCATATATATTTTTAAAAAAACAAATTCTCTTCTGAGAAAATTTTATAGCTAAATTTTTAAGCAATTATTGAGGAAATAAATTAATTGGAAAATAACAACATATTTAATGCAATTTAATTAAACTTAATATTTAAACAATAAGACTACAAATAATAAATATTCATAACAAATTTATACTTACATATAAAATTTAAGCTGCAATAGATTGAATGATTGTTGCCTTGTGAGCGGAATTTCCATTTTATTCAGCAATAATATGAATTTATAAAATACGCTTTGAATAACTGAGTACTCGTATTGGAGAGTTAAAGACAGGTCAGTGAAGTAATTGGTACCACAGCTGCATGTGCATTGAGTCCCTTTCCTCTCCTTCTTAACGACATGGACAAAGATATCGTCTTTATTCTTAGAAAGAGTACACCCTCGATTTTTCAAGTTGACAGAAATCTCCAGGGTTTTGTCTGAGCTTCAAAAGATCAGAGTCGCTGCCACCATCCTTTTTTTGTGCCTTTTCATAGGGTCGGTAACGGCTTGATAAGACAGACTTGCCACTTTTCCGTGAATACTCGGAATCGAAGAATTCCTTTATTTTCACCGTATTTTTATTGAAATAATTAATGAATCCAATATTACAACATTTAATACTTTGAACTCGGCTACCATCCACAAATGGTGTGAAATGATTGAAGTGTCGATTTGATTGAGTGTAACTCAATTTACTGCTTCAGAATTCGTAGGATTCTTGAAAAAAAAATTTTTAAATAAAATATTATATTTTATTTTTAAAACAGAAAATTTTATAAAGGAGAATTGAGGATCACATATATGTTTACTATTTTCCATCGAGAATATCAAATTTTGTTGTGATGATTAATTGTTCTACAGATATGAATTGATCCCTGAACAATTTATTTTAGGTTAAAAACATTTTAACTCAAATAATAATCTAATAATCATAGAATTTTAAAAATTATGAACTGAAGGGTAGTTAACAAATTAAATGTTGTTTTTTTTTTTTAAATGTTAGTCTTTTCATTTGGAGTAAAAAAATTCATAGTAGAAAAATAGCTTTAATATATACCAATTGAAAATATAAATTATTTAATAATTTGTGCTATTTAAACAGAATTTAACAATTTAAATAATATATTTTGAATAATAAAGAATCCTTTTTAATGGGTACTCTTATTTGTAGTTTTTTCCCAATATTTTGAAAGTAAAAGAAAAAAAAAAGCTTGCATCACCGGTATAATTATTTCATTTAAAATTTATTAATTCTTTAAAAAAGACTCATGTAAGTTTATCACACTTCCCTTAAAAAAATACTTAAACCTCTAATTAAGAGTTGAGTTAATATATTTCAGAGAATTAATATTTGAATTTTATGATACATTATTAACTAACTAAAAATTAAGGTCACTAAGTTTTTTTTAAATTTAAGAATGTTTCGTGGAAATAATAATACGAGAGAAATGGTTTTCGAGATTTTTGCTTGTAATATCGGTCATCTTGCCTCGAATTATCATAAATGGTTACTCTTGGAGGAGAGGAAAAAAAACTGAATTGGAAAACTCACATTTCACAGCAAGATTTGCCGAGCCGGGTCTGGGACAAAATCCCGAAATGGACGAAACTCAGATAACATTGAAATCCGTTTAAATCTCATCACCAATGAAATATCCGACAATGAAAGAATTTCGTCTAAGTCGGGATTTTGGCTTGTGTAAAAAAAATTAAAAAAACATTCGACTTAACCTGAATTTGCCGACTGGATGATATCCCTGGGGGACACCCCTCTCACCCCCCGTTGACGACGGGCCTGATTGCCGTTTGATCCTTGCGGTTGCACCGAATGTTGAGTGCAATCAATATTTAAATTCCCTAAAGCAAAAATAGTAGTCAAGTATTTCACTTACAGGTGCATTTCATCTTTTAAGAACTGATGCATGAAAACAATTTTTTCTATAAAAAGTACAGCGTAACAAAATCAATGATCTTTCATATCAGCAAAAAATATTAAAACGCATATAGTGCTATGATAAATTAGCTTTTATGTAACTAATTCTCAGAAAAACAATTCATTAAGTTCAACTTATTTCATTATTATGAAATGTTGCAGTAATTTACACATTTCTAAAATTTTAAATGAAAACAGCTTAAAAACTGTTTTCAACACAAATATAATTTTTAGCGGCACAGGAGTCATAATTATTACAAAACAAGTCCAGGAAAAGGAAAATAAATCTGTGGGGAATGTTAATCTGTAAATAAATCTGTGTGGGCAAAGAAAATGTATTATATTTTTTGCAATGAAATTTCTGCTATAAAAGCACTGGAAAAGTTTAAATCTTTTAAGGACATCTGTTTCAAAGATAATATTCGATAGGTTGAAAAGTTTAAGGATGGTAGAGAATCCATCCATTGAAGGTGGTCAGCAATTTTCTAGATAATCTACTTCAATTAATGATCAACATATCAATCCAATCAGTCAATACCACTGTTAGGCAGTGAATGAAAATTAAGTTTTGAGAAAAATTTCAGTTCGAAAGTTAGAGAAAAAACTTATGGGTTTGGAACCATGGTCCTTGTAGTTATTATTCATCAGAAAGTTTTGAGCACATTAAACTGATAAAAGAAAATTTTCTACAAAACACTAAATGAAATCCCCCAAAACGATTTAAGGGTATGTTTCGGTCATTGGAAAGAAAACGTTGGCAAAAATGCAATGAGGTCAGAGGAAAGTAATTTTAATGAGTTAAAATAAGTAAATTGATACTTTTTGTTTTATGACACAATTCTGAGTACTTTTTGATTGTAGAAGTATATCTTAAAATATTAATATTTTCTTAAAAACATAATTCCAATGATGTATAAAATGATTAAAATAAGTACAAAATATTAGATAATGGAGAAGATTAGCCAGATGAAATTTTAAAACAGATATGCTAATTTCTGAATAAAATTATCTACCAAAATTCCAACTGCAGCTCCTACGTTAAACTAATTTGAAGCAATTTGCTAAATAAGTTATCTGACTATCATCACACAAAAAGAAAAACAAAATTCCTAAGACAATAGCCTAGTCTACCTGGAATAGAACCAGAAAGTTTTAAAGTATCTCAGTGATTTTTCATGCAAGAAAGTGAATTAAGAAATCTAATTTCCATGAATAAATTTATTTAAAACAATATATATATCACAATTTATATTTGCAAATTATTAAAAAAGTACCATTGAAAATGTTAATAACGAAAAACATGAGGAACAATGAAAATAATAAACCAGAGTTGTACAAGATTATGATCAAAGTCTAAAACTAAAACAGATGTTTCAGAATTTATAA